CCACCGCCACCTCCTCCCCAACCATGTGAAACCCCCTCTTCATCCCCACCACCACCTCCACCACAAGAATGGCACCACCAACCACCACAAACTCGATCACCACCATCACCTACATACCATCATTCATATACACCACCACAACAATGGCATCAGCCACCACCCCAACAATCACCGTCTCCTCCACCACCAACACTCCCACCACCACCACCTTTCGATAACCTGCCTCTTCCACCAGTGTTCGGAGTTTCCTACGCCTCTCCACCACCACCTGTAATCCCCTACTATTGATCCAACCGAATCCAAATCAAAACCTATACACATTACATACATACACACTTAACATTCACCATTAATCTTCCTTCAAATCAAAGATATCGTGCATAGTCTGAAACTTTTTGGGAATACGAGGAGTTGAGATTGAAGGTTCTGTTGGGCGTGATCTTTTTTAGGGGCTTTCGTTTAATTTGTTTGTGAAATTAATCACTTAATTTGTTGTGTTCAAGTATTATACTTTTTGTCATATTTTCATGTATACTTCGACTTTGGAAATTAGGAAATGTAGCATACTTTCATTCATTTTTATATTTATATGTGAACAAAGATCTATTATTCTGTAATAAAAATCTCCATTTCTATATATTGAGTTCATAGCATATCCAACTAAGTTTATGTGTATCCATTAATTCTACGAACAACTTGTTCCAGATTTCCAGCTTGAAATGAGATGACTTAGTCAACTTAGCTACCCTAAATTACATGTTTACTTCGAAGTCATACCATAGAAACGAGATTTACAGACTTAAAAGTCTTATGTTCATATATAATTGTTACATACAGCAAGAATTAATGGAAATAAAGGTTACAATCAAATAAGCTGCAAGGGACAAGTAGGTGAGGCAGACGATTTGCCAACCAAGGACCATTTATGTAATTTTATCTATAGATTAGTATCAAAATGTAAATTTATTAATATAGAGTAAAAGTTTATTTGTATAAAAACGTAAAATATGTTATTGTTATTTGTATTTTGTAGAAAAAAAAAAAAAAAGTTACACGTGGCATATGTGAATTTATAAGTCGGTTATGTTTTTGAAGGAAGTTAGTAGTGAAAAAGGCACTATTAACCAAAGAAATGGTCCGATCCACCCCATCAAGCTTTCTGTGTTTATTTCATTCACTTCTCGGACACGACAACAGCATCACTGATTCACTTCTGCAGTTCTGCTTCTCTCTCGCCTCTCGTCTCCTCTAGCACGGCGGCGACTGCAAATCCTTCTGCCTACGTCTCCGGAAACGCCTATTACATTGTGGTATATTTCAATTTTCACCGATAGAAATTAAATATCGCCCTTTTCTCACATAATACGAATTTCTTTTCTTGCTATAGATGGTGTAGTCTGTAGTATTTTCTATGCCATATACATAACTGGCTGGATTGAAATTGCATTTATGATCATTGTTTAGTATGCAGGCAAGGTGTTTGATGAAATGTCTGAAAAAATTAATTCACTTCTATGGAACTTTTTAAACTTGTATGTTAAGTTTCAGTCAACTTTGGTCCGGTTAGAAGATAGAATGGATGTTTTATAAACTTTCGGTTCCACTTTTTTCATTTTAACAGTCCAAGTAGGGCGTAGAACAGGAAACAAAGGTGAGGTGATTTCTTGTTCCTTTAATTGAATAATAGAATAGTGTATTGTTTGAGAATCGCCCTCTGCTCCTTACTCTGTTTTTTAATTTGATAACATAAATGATATGGGGAATACATGTCTTCTTTTCATGGCTTTCATGGTTTTCAAATGCAAAAGTTATCCAATTTGTCACAAACATTTTCTGTTCATAGTAATTGCTATAATGCTTAATTTGATCTATATTTCTTTTCAAGAACATTGAAGTAAGGATTTTTATTTTAAAGGTATCCCGTCTAACATACAAAGTCAAAATCTGTTTGTTGACTTTGATAGAGTTGAAAGAATGGCCTTCAGAGTGGTTGCTAGGAGATTATTGAGGAGCAAGCTGTTACCCATGTTCACTCCTGCTTCTACATTGCATTCTCATGCCACTAGCTTTGGTTAGTCAACCTTGCTTTCCTGTTTCTTTATTTATAATTTCTGATTAATCTATTATTTTTACAATCATAAGCCCCTGTAATGGTGTCTTAATACACTGCAGGATTTAAAGAAGTAAATGAAGAAGAAAAAAGCCAACTGGTTGGGAATGTCTTCACCAAGGTTGCATCAAATTATGACATCATGAATGATTTGATGAGTGGTGGATTGCATAGGTTGTGGAAAGATAGGTAAATAGTAACATTTTTTACTTTTTCTAAAAAATATTCCTTCATTTGTCTATTAGGGTTTGTTTTTTTTATGTTTGCACATTTTTCAGACTGGTTTCAAAATTGAGTCCATTTCCTGGGATGAAGCATCTTGATGTAGCTGGTGGGACAGGTTAGTTTGTCTCTTTGTATTTGTTATTTGGCATCACTTCACGAAAGAAGGGTAAAACGGTCATTTGCTCATAATCAGAAGGTTCATTTAGTCCAAAAAAAGAATCACTCGTTGTTAATACAACACTTTCCCCATACAGACATCATTTCTCCATTCACCACTTTATCTATTCCATACATCACTTAATGGAAACAAAAAGACAAAAACGCCCTAAGATTACAAGAAATATAATATTTCTTTTTACATACAGGTGATGTTGCTTTTAGGATTCTAGAAACAATCAACAGTGTTAATCGCAGAGCCATAGAAGACACACTTGAAGATGATTTGCAGAGAGAAACTCAGATTTATGTTTGTGATATCAATCCAAATATGTTGGATGTTGGTAAAAAACGAGCCCAACAAAGAGGTAACTAACTCTTGTTTAAGTGGTAAAACTGTAATTTTATATATCACCCATAAAGGCAAGTTTAATTTTTTTTTTTTTTTTTTACCAAATTTATGTAGGGCTTGGAGAACAGGGGTCTCTCATATGGGTTGAGGGAGATGCAGAAAAACTCAATTTTGAAGATGATTCAATGGATGGTTACACTATTGCTTTTGGTATTAGGAATGTTACACACATAGAAAAAGTTCTTGCTGAAGCATATAGGTACTTTTTAAATTTCTTTTATAAACAAAACACACTTGGGAAAAAAGTTTTATAAATATTTATTTTTTTATCAGGGTACTCAAGAAAGGAGGGAGATTCCTTTGTCTTGAACTCAGCCATGTCGAAGCTCCAGTTTTCAAGCAACTGTTAGTATTCTTTGAACTTGTACTTGAGTGTTTATTATATCATTATTTGTTTATTTTATTAATTGTTTTTCTTTTCTTTTTGGATACAGGTATGATTACTATTCATTCTCAGTTATTCCAGTTGTAGGAGAGTTAGTTGCAGGAGATCGTGATTCTTATCAGTATTTGGTTGAAAGTGTTAGACATTTTCCTCCTCAGGTGTGTTACGTAGTTTGACTTAATGTTGACCCTAGCAACCTTAATGAAAACAAAAAAAAAATGTTGTTAAGGTTTGGTGTAATTGATTTGCAGGAGGTGTTTGCTTCAATGATTGCGGAGGCTGGATTTCAAAAGGTGGAGTATGAGAATCTTGTGGGAGGAGTGGTGGCAATCCATTCTGGGGTGAAATTTTAGATGTTTTTTTTTTCTAGACTCTAATTCAAATTTATTTCAAGTTAATAAGATGGAGTTGCTAAAGATTTAGCTTCAATTTGTATGTTGAACACTTTGAATATGTAAAAGAAAGTTAGACACTGTTCCATGTGGCCTAACAGTATCAGAAGTTGTTGGAAAGGTGTTCTTCAGTCAATAGGTTGAGGGTTAAAATCATGTGTGATACAGGAGGATTATTGATATGGTAAAAGATTAATGTTATGGTCAATGTTACAAGAATCTACATGGTTGCGAAATTAGAACACTGAACTGATAATTAAGTAATAAAGTTAATACGAATTATGATATGTATGTCTATATGATTTTAATTCATGTAAAATGTTGATACAAGACTCTTTCAGGATATGGTTTTCAAGAAATCTGATTTTTGGGATTATAATTAAATAATAGATTCCAATGAGGATGGAGAGTTCTGTTTAAGCAGCGTTTGGGGTTTGGGATATAGTATAAGATATATATTTTATCGGTTTGATGGCCCTCGAGTATAATACATTCCACGTTCACTCGATAGTAAAAAGTTAATTAATCATTTAATCCATAGTCATACCATTAAAAAGTTGTACACATAACTATAGTATTATAAAAATAGATATTAGCGACGTTATAGCTCAATTCATACTATAACATTATAAAAATAGACATCCAGGTATTACCGTATTACATTAACCATTAAATTTAACCATACAACTATTTGATTATCTAATTCATTGAAGGTGTGTCATCTATTGGTTCCATCCGAATGAGAAATGCCCAATGAAGTGATGCTCGTGATACCCCTTCCGATAGACTAACATTTATTCATTCGTATAGTTTATGTGTTTGTATTTTGTAATCAAATACTAGTAGTATTTTAATTTGGATTTGTATTGTTATGAATAATTGTTACTTTTTATGCAATTGAGTTTAATGTTTATGTTATCAAAATTTATGTTTATGTTATCATATTTCAAACATCACACCAATCATTTTTAGCATGCATCTGGCATGTGCTTTGGAAAGTCGACAAAATTGGTTTCTAGAATCTGACATGTGTATTGTGTAATATAGTACATTTCCGAGTAGAGTGACTAGACGGAAAGTACTTCAGGACATAAAGTGGTCTAGATTTTGACCATAACTTTATGAATTCAACTAAAAATATTTACTTTCTATCTATCGTTTAACTCAAGTACTATATAAAGTGTTGTAAATCTTTTAGGGTTTAGGTCATTTTTGGTCACTTAACTTTTGGTTTTGTGTTCATTTGGTCACTTAACTCTTTTTAAGTTTTAAAAGGTCATCAAACTTTTGGCTTTGTGCTCATTTAGTCACTTAACTTTTGGTTTAGTCACATTTAGTCATCTAACTTTTAAAATTGTGCTCATTTAGTCACTAAACTTTTAAATTTTTTCAAAAGTTTAGTGACTAAATGAGCACAATTTTAAAAGTTAGGTGACTAAATGAGCACAAATCTAAAAGTTAAGTGACAAAATCAAAAGTTAAGTGACTAAATGAGCACAAAGTCAAAAGTTTGATGATCTTTTAAAACTTAAAAAGAGTTAAGTGATCAAATGAACACAAAACCAAACCCAATCTTTTATTCACTCTAATATTCCCTAACTTTATAAGATTGAGTTCATCTGAAGATGGTGGTGTTTGGTAGTGTGAAGAGAAAGATTGTTATATTTGTTTTGATCTTAATCCATTTCATGATGTCAATCCAAATCATCTAAGATATTATCGTGATGAACCACTATCAACCAATATATATAT